TAGAGGGGGGAAAATGATTCTTTAGCAGTAAAACATTTGAATTTTACCTCAAGTAAGACTTTATTTCAAAATCTAAACAGAAATTTTAACTCTTAATTTGCTCTAGGATATTCTGATTTAAGTCAAGTCATTTTGGACAAATAATATAGCTCATTCATTGTATTCATCAGATGAAACAGACAGTTTGATCTCCCTTTCCATATATATAAAATAAGTCTCCTTTCTTCTACTCAAATAATGACTAAAATGTTAAGAAATGATAGAATATTCACTTTTAAATGAAATATTAATGTATTTTACAATAAATATCTTTTATTTGTGCTTTTCCTTTCTGTCTAGCTTTGAAGGCCTCACCTTCTAAGAAACGATGTAATTCCATTGCCGCCTTAAAGGCAACGTCACAGGAGATTGTGTCCTCAATTAGCCAGGAGTGGAAGGATGAGAAGCGAGATTTGCTGACTGAAGGACAAAGTTTTAGCAGCCTTGATGAAGAAGGTAAAGATATATAACTTTTTAAAAGAGAAAAAAGTTCTTGTGATTTATTTATACAAGTAAATTTACAGAAGAAAAATTTTAAAATACCTGCTCTAAGAAATAAAATCGATTAATTAAGTTTTTAAAGGATAGCCACAGTGTCCGGCCCAGCTCTTTGGGAGGCCAAGGTGGGCAGATCATTTGAGGTCAGGCATTTGAAACCAGCCTGGCCAACATGGCAAAACCCTGTCTCTACTAAAAATACAAAAAAATTAGCCAGGGGTAGTAGCAGGTGCCTGTAATCCCACTACTCGGGAGGCTGAGGCATGAGAATCACTTGAACCTGGGTGGTGGAGGTTGCAGTGAGCTGAGATTGCGCCACTGCACTCCAGCCTGGGCAGCAGACCAAGACTCTATCTTAAATACATACATACATACATACATACATACATACATACATACATAAATAAGCAAGCAAACTAGCTACAGTGAGATACATTTCATGCAAATTTTAACTACCACATAAAAAATACAATTTATGGTTTATGATAAAAATTAGACAATATTAACTCAAAAAGAAAAATGTCTACTTCCACCATTTAATGGTAACAAATATTACCATTTGTTGCTATTACCTGTAGACCTTATTCTGTGCATGTATACATACACTCATGCATCCATAAACACACACACATACACGCAATGTAGCAGTAAGTTGTTTCTTCATTTAGGTCTTCTTTAATGAATTTTTCCTTTCATACCCACTGGTAATACTCGGGAGGTACTTCGTGTTCTTTACTTTGAAAGCTTCATAACCATGAGCAGATACCAAGAGAAGGAAAGAAAAGAGGCAGGAAGGAAAAAGCAAGGAAAAATATGGAACGTTTCACAAAATTGCATGTCATCCTTGCACAGGGCCCATGCTAATCTTCTCTGTATTGTTCCAATTTTAGTATATGTGCTGCCAAAGCGAGCACTTTAATGAATTTAAATAAAGTTTTCTAATATTTTTCAGGTGTGGCTTGCACATATACCTTTTGTTAGACTTATTTCTTGGATAGATGCAAAGATATTGACACAGACTATTTTTCTGGATTTTTGAAAATAGTACCTTTTTTAAGAATTGGGTTTTCTAGCCATTTGTTACTGCAACATACACTTCACATCTATTTTGTCTTTCTTTCTTTCTTTCTTACTTGCTGGCTAGGACTTCTGGTACAATGATGAATAGAAGTGGTGGTTGTAGACGGCCTTGCCTTGTCCTGATTTTAAAGGGAGTGCTTCTAATGTTTCACTGTTGAAAAAGAAGTGCGCTGTATTTGATACACATAATCAGGTCAAGGAAGTTCCTTTTTTGTTCCTACTTTGCTAAAAGTTTTTTTTTAATCAAGAATGAGTACTAAATTTTATTAAATACTTTTTTCTGTCTACCAAGTTGATCATTGGTTTTTGCCTTCTAATCAGACATGGGGAAATGACATTTTAGAAATCAGTATATTATTTTGAGAATCTCAGCATTTCCTGAAAATGTCTTCTGCTTTCTACAGGAGTTAAGACCTTTTCTAGGGGTTTTCTTTTCCTCAGTCTTTAGGATGGGTGTTACTTCTATTCCTTCTTCAGCAGCATTTATCCATACGTGCTATTTGATTTCTTTCTTTTTCATCTTCCTATATACTAACTTTTGTCCAAAGTTAGTAAAGATCCTCTCTGAATTGATGTCTCCAATTCCTGGCAGACATTCACCTCCTTCTCCTAAGCTTCCTGCACTGGCATCTCCCCCACTATACTACCTGATTTTCCGATAGCACACACAAAACTGCAGGTGTTTGTAGGCTGGGAAATAAGATAAACTTATTTTAAGGTTATATTAGATAAGCTTTCAAGTAGTATCTGACCTCTAAAGTTAAAGCAATGGATCCAATTGTTAATTTGGAAAAATAAATTATAAGTATAATTAATATACTACACAGCACCTAAAAAGGCTGGAAACATGGTAAGTAGTGCACACATTGTGTTTCTTTCAAAAGAACTCATTGCTTCAAATTTAGAGATACAACGCCTTTAAAAGTCTTTGGAGGTCAAAGAAAAACCTATTGAGCATATTCTTTGAAAATGTAACATACTATTATAAAATGAGTTTATCTTGGCAGTCCTCCTCATGCACAATGTTGAGTCTCTAAATCATGCTCTGTACTTGGGGAACTTCCGCTTGCATCAAGTCATCACCAAATTTCCTTCTAGTTTTTAACGATTTGTTTTCTGGCATGCTCAGTATGCTAAGGTTATATTTTCTATTGCCATGTAACAAATTATCACAAACTTGGCAGCTTAAAATAATACCCAGTTAGTAGCCGATGGTTTTGTAAGTCAGAAGACTGGTTACAACACACAATCTCTGCTCAGGGTCTCAAAACCTGAAATGAAGGTGTTAGCTGGGCTGAGTTCTTAAAGCGCTGAAGATGAATCCTGTTCCAGGCTTATTCATGTTGTCGACAGAATTCAGCTCCTTGTAGCTGTTAGGCTGAGATACTTGCTTCTTTGCTGTCTGACAGCCAAGTATCATGCTTAGCCCTGGGGGCCATCCACATTCTCTACCGTGCAGCCCCTCTGTCTTCAAACACAGAATGTCCTCCAAGTCAGCCCCAACACTTTGACTCTCTAACTTCTGGTCTCTGACATCTAGACCCAGATTTAAAGGGCTTGTACGATTAGGTGGGGCTCCTCTGGATAATCTCCCCTTTGACCAGCCCAATGTTAGCCAACTCAGAGTAACCTGAGTTATATCTGCAAAATCGTTTTGCCAGGTCACATCACATAGCTACAGGAATAACAGTTCATCATGTTTGCAGGCCCCACAACAAAGAAAGAATATACAAGAATATGGGTCATTAGGGGTCATCTTAGGGTTCTGCCTACCACACTGGCTTTAGAAAAAAACTGAAGGATATGGGCACCTGAGGAAATGCTTCTCTCCCTCAAAGAGCTGCTCCTCATGGGTTGAGGGGTCACCTTCCTGATGATGTGTGACCTGGGACTGAGTCACTAGACAAATGTGTTTTGCTCTATCACTCAGATCATGTCTGCTTTGTGAAGTAAAGCTGGTATGCCCAAAACCTAGGTCGAAGACCAGCTCCATGTACCTTGTAAGGAGTGGCAATTCATTGGAATCTGATATCAAATTATTTTTGACACTCAGTTTTTAATGTTATGCATAGTATTCATGTTTTTCTTTCCATTTAATGAGAAGTTGGGATCAAGCATATTGAAGATAGCAAGCCAAGTGTCACATTAAAGTTGAAGCCTTTCTAATTTTTGAAGGTGGAGCACTTTGGTCATTCGTGGTTTTATATGACAATCATCCATTATCCATTGCTGCAGTTTTCTATTTTGACTTGAACTGGAGACAGAGCATCCCAATATGTCACCTCATTTCCCAGACCAGAGTCCAGTCTTTCCTGAGGTTGCCTGGCTTCCCTCCCTGTCATTCCCTACCCCTACCACCTATACCCTTCAAATCCAAAATCCAGAACCTCACACTCACACGAGAATGCCTATTATAGTCGGTTTACATTTACACACTAAGAATCCTTAATTTTGAATTTGTTGGGCCTATAAAGGAACACCAGGGACACCTTAAAGTTACAATATATTAGCATCCGTTTTAGGTCAGTCTGGGGGAATGATGAAAAGAGTCCATCTACCTATACTCCAGAGAGATGGGCTCAGCCTTGAGCATTCTTCTTTCCTCACAAGAATGGGCTCTTGCATAAGTAATTTCATGGGCCCCTAAATTAAAAAAAAATAAGTGTTTTCTCATTTTTTGAAAAGGTAGTTTTGCTGCTAAATGTCAAAAAGAGTCCTGGATAATGTTTAGAAGTACTTATGTGCTCAGATGGGGTTAAGGCAGAGCTGGCTGTTAGTCTGTCGAAGTATTTGTTTTCTAGCTCTTGAAAAGTCTGGATTCTTAGATCCAACCTGAGAAACATAGATAGGGCAAAAAAGTTCACTGTCTGTTTATACACTTGCCAGTTATCCTTTTAATCTCTGTCATATTATCTGCTTAAATTCCTATGAGTTTCTTTAATGCCATCTTTTTAAAATAGTAAATCACTTTATAAGGTTTTTGAAAGAACATTCATAATATCATTTCCATAAGCCATTTTGTAAATTAATGCAATTTCCTTTCTGTGTAACCTGTTTGCAAGAAGCTATTTTGCTTTTATGCTGTAATTCAGAAAAGAGTACAGTTAATTTATAATTTAATTTGCAGCCTGATAGGTAAAATGAATGCTTTTGACTCATTTAGATTATTATAGATACTAAAGCTGCATTTATTCTTGAGATTCATGAATGTGTGTGTTGCTTTCGTTCCCAGCCTTGGGATCCCGACACAGACCAGACCTGGTGCCTAGTACTCCATCACTGTTTGAAGCTGCTTCCTTGGCGACCACAATTTCATCTTCTTCCTTATATGTCAATGAGCACCAGCCACATGACAGGCCTACACTCTATTCAAACAGGTAATACTTAGTGCGGTCAAATAACCCATCCACCTGTTACCATGTCAACATCAGGCCTGAAACAGTATCTCTAAATGAGAACACGTTGTCTCTAGCAACTAGGATGTGCCTGTCATCTGCCTCGTAAGTTGGAGAGAAAACATGTTTGATTTTTACTGTGGCAAAAGAACATTGAAGGAAAAACCCTCATGATTTTTCTTTATAGTTGTTCATTATGTCATGTAGAAATTATATGTTTGGCTCGATGGAAGAAGACAAATCTTTCATCATTTTTATTTTAGTAGATTTTTTAGGAATGTGTTTCTTTAAAGCAAGCACTCTTAGTTAATATTACACAGGTAGTGCAAAGATATTATAATATTCTCTTTTGGTATGTGTGATCTTGGTGACTATGGTAAACAGAATAATGCCCCCTGCCCCAAGTTGTCCACATCCTAATTCCTGGAACCTGTGAATATGTTACCTTATATGGCAAAAGGGACTTTGCAAATGGGATTAAATTAAAGATCCTGAAATGGGATGAGTATCCTGAATTATCCAGATAGACCCAATATAATCACAGAGTTCTTATAAGGGGAAGACAGAAGAAGAAGGGTCAGAGTCAGAAGTGGAGATGCAGCATCAGAAGCAGAGGTCAGGATACCCCATTTGCCCTGATGTGATTATTATTCATTGCATGCCTGTATCAAAATATCTTGTGTAACCTATAAATATATACATCTACTGTTTACCCACAACAATTTAAAAATAAATAAATCACATTAAAAATTTTTTTAAAAGAAGCAGAAGTCAGAGAGAGAAGGAGTTGAGGATGCTGTGTTGTTGACTTTGAAGATGGAGGAGGGGGCCATGAGCAAAGGAATGCAGGCAGCCTCCAAAGCTGAAAGGGCAAGAAAGCAGATTCTCCCCTAAAGCCCCCACAAAGAAACACAGCCTACCCACAGCTTGAATTTTAGGACTTCTCCCCTCCAGAGGTGTAAGATAATACATTTGTATTGTTTTAAGCCACTGTGCTTATAACTGGTTACAGCAGCCATAGGCAACAAATACAGTGACTCTAAAACATTTAATGTGACTTTACGTATTAGGGTGGATTATTGACATTTCTTAAGTGAAAAGGTAATTTTTTTATTTGGTATTTTTCCTTTTATAAACATATTCTTGCACATTGGTTCTAGTGTTAGAAAATGACATCTTTACAAACAGATCACGTTGTCTATGGGATACACTATTTTATTGTCTATTGTTATATATGTAGTTTATAACTAACTTTAATTCCAAGAGAGGGACTAATAGATATGGGCTCAATAATTGTCTATTAGATCCTGCACAAAGTGGATATCACAGTTCATATTGTGAGAAGACACAATAGTGAGAATAGTTTTACCAAAAATAATGAAATATCATATAATTGTCTGCCTTTTACCATTGATTTGAGTGCATCTTTAGAAAACTGAATGTAACAGAAACCCAGGACATTTTTGGAAACTGTATACTCTCTAGCAACTTTGTGTGCACTGTTTTATGCATTCTATAAAATGTTATAAAAGTAGAAACAAATTTTAAAAACATAAGTAAAATGATAATTATCTGTTAAATGTTAGACTAGTTCTTACTGAAACCTAGCTCTCAAGAATCAAAATCAGATTTATGCAAGTGAATAATTTCTTAGTATTTATTTGGTATTTTTCCATCTCCAGGCTAGCAGCTGAGTTGCTTTCCAGGAAGAAGAGTAAATATGGTAGATTTATTTTTAATATATGTGTATCCATAACGTCTAGCTTAGTGTTTTGGCAAGTTAAAGTTTGCTAGCTGGACCTGTTATAGTAATTCTTTTTTGTTGCTATTTCTTCCTCTCTCAGCTAATACAAGATTACATAGGCAGAGGTTAGGCGGCTAGTCTAGGTACAGAAAAGTAGAACAAGTGGGTAGCAAGGCAAGCCACAAATCTTAGCTGGGCCTAAGTTTGCATTGTTCTACTCTAAGAGCCAACAAATAAGGCTCTATTAAAAATTATTTAACTCATCTAAACTATACAGAGTTATTTGATTTGGTCAGTTTCCTTGGGTTGGAGAAATTAAAAATGACTTAAATTAATGTGTAATACTTACTGTTGAATGTTTAAATTCGGTGTGGAAATTAGTCAAGCAACAGTCTTTCCCGTCTGTTTGGTGCAGCTGAACACATGGGTCTATATAAAGTTCTTTTGCTCTCAAATATAAATAGCAGCTCAAAAGATAGCTGGAAAGTTGCAGGAAGTTCAACTGTTTTGCAAGGTCAAAAACAATTCTCATATGAGGCCATGATGATTTCCTACAGTTTGCTGTTGTGGTAATTAATGGGGCATATAATCGGATGTGCTCTTAAATCATTTACTGAAATTTTCAGCCAAAAATAAAAGGGTTTTATTTTGTGTTTTGTTTTGGTAGCAGTAGTGGTGGTGATTGTAGTTAAGGATCGAGCCTCTTCACCAGAGATATTCGACTCTTGGGTATTCATAAGGTTTTCTCAGGATCTGGCACAGCCTCGTCCTGACTCTCAATCATCCCTGGCCATCCTGGAAGCTACCTCTGCATGCTCCACCTCTGCGTGCTCCCAGAGCTGTGTTATCATTCTCAGTACTTTTATTTATGCTGATACTGGCTAGCAAACAGATTTGGAGGGGAGAAATAAAAAACAGTTATCTATGATATTTTTTCCTTTCTTTGAAATATGTATTGAAAACAAGTGCATTGTTTTAGTCTTCTTTGGCACTGTATCTCCAAATTGCAATTTAGTATCTTATATTTCACTATCAATCAAAGTTCAGTTGCAAGAACAAGAAACCACTTTACCTTAACCAGAAAGGGATTTAATCTAAGGAATTGGGTGCCTACGAAGTCTGTGGAAAGGCAGGGAGCATGGGCTCCAGGCTGGCACCAGGAACTCCATCCTGGAACATGACACAGAACTGGGCCATCAGCAGCACTACAGCAGGAACCACAGTCAGGTTGGTGCCTGCCAATGAGATGCAACCCAGACAAAAGCATTTCAGTGAGCCCAGAATGTTTTTTCAATAAGGCAGCCTTTAAAAACCAAGCAACTTCACTAAAATACCCAGATTCTTATGCAAAATCAATATCTTTGACACCTTATAATTTTGGCTCTGTTTCCTCCTGGCTTTTATCAGCTGGAGGGAAAAACCCTGGACCCCCTAGGTCACCACCCTCTGCATCATTCATCTGTACTGTAACCCTGCCTGCTCCCATAGGTATGTCTGCTTTTAGACTTGATGTGCACAAGAAGCTGATAGAAAGGCCTAGGGTCTTAATTATGGACTTAGGGAAATCGTAAGGAAAAAAGACATAACAGTACTAAAGAATCCTGAAGACAACAGCCTGAGAACTCCCAGAAGCAATATCCCTATTTCCCTGACCCACCATGCCCAACTCACATTATTTAATTGGCACACTTCACCAGCAAACAAAAAAAATTGCCATATTTTGTTCTATCGTTTTTTTCCTTGAGTGTCCACCTAGTCCTACTTGGTGTTTCTTTAGGCAATGAATAAACACTATTCTAAATCTCATCTGGCCAACTGAGTTTCAAAACCTAATCCAGATACCCTGGAAAAAAAATTCATTGAAAAGAAAATATGTTGAATATTGATGTTTTAAATTACATGTGAGATTTTTCTCTTTATGAATCATTTTTCTGTTCAGGCAAAGTGGTCTTTTTTCTGATTTTGACATTATGTTATACATATCTGTGCTAAAATAAGCTGTAAATACTTCAACTAGCAGTTGTCATTCTTTCAGTCTTTTTAGAATCCTTAGGTTGGCAAGGTATTGATTAGTACCTGGATGCCTCCACACCTTAATTATATACTACAGTGGGACATTGTTTTCTCTTAGAATTACTCCTTTTTTTTAAGGATTATTTTTTGTAACTTCAAAAACTAATAGCAACTCATTCTTTTTTTAATGTACTCCAAGAAAAAAAGAATGGAAGGAAAGAAAGAGGAAGGAAAGAAAAAAAAAGTATTATCTTGAAAATATGTATCTAACCTACTGATTGGGAGTACGTATTTTCAAGTTGTACTGTGCAGTCTTGTGTTAGAGCATGCAGATCGTAGGAATAAAGAGAAACCATTGTGGGCACTTGCTTCCCAGTCAACTAGTGAGATCCAAGTTCTGAATTTTTGATACTTGCATTTTTCTTTACTGGTAAGAAGGCTGTTCTTTTAAAAGAGTATAAATTAAGCACTAAGAAATATAGGGGCAGCTTTTCTTTGCTGCATCTACTGTGAGAATGAAGACCATTCCCAGCAATCAGACTGTCAACATTCCAGAAAATGTGGACATTACTCCGAAGGGACACACAGTTATCGTGAAGGGCCGCAGAGGGACTTCGATCACATCAGTGTAGAACTTAGTCTTCTTGGAAATGGAAAAAAAGAGGCTCTGGATTGACAAATGGCAGAATAGCAAAGGAGCTGGCTACCATTTGGACTATTTGTTGTCATGTACAGAACATGATTAAGGCTGTTACACTGGGCTTCCCTTACAAGATGAGGTCTGTGCATGCTCACTTCCCCATCAGCGTCGTTATCCAGGAGAATGGGTCTCTTCTTGAAATCTGAAATTTCTTGGATTAAAAAATATATCCACAGGGTTCGGATGAGACCAGGTGTTGCTTGTTCGGTATCTCAACTCCAGAAAGATGAATTAATCCTTGAAGGAAATGACATTGAGTTTGTTTCAAATTCAGCTTCTTTGATTCAGCAAGCCACAACAGTTAAAAACAAAAATATCAGGAAATTTTTGGATGGTATCTATGTCTGTGAAAAAGGAACTGTTCAGCAGGGTGATGAACAAGATCTAAGAGTTTTCCAGCTACAGAAACAAGATGCCATATGACTCCTAAGACCTACTCGTGATGTTTAAATGATGCAATGAAAGACCTATTGATTTGGAACTGTTCCTTAAAAAGAAATATAGAGGCAAATGTGTTTTGTCTCAAAGTTAAGAACAATTTCATTTAATGCTATAGAAAGAGGTTACACATGTGAATATTTTCATGATTTCCTGCATAGTTGGTAGCAAAGCTGAAGCTCTGGTTATGCATAAGGATTGGAAGTCACACTTCATTCCAGTGTACCTATGCTTTCCCCATCCAAGATCTCTTACCAGCATCACCACTCCATCCAGTCTCAGATTTTGTTAGTGGCTATTTCTAACGGTTGGCTCACCCTGCAGATATGTGCAGTACTGTAAGAGGGCAAAAATGTCAGCGAAAAAGCCACTGGTCATTTGCACATAGAGGGAAAATTGGCAAAGCCTCCTTAAATGATGAGTCCAACATTCTAGCTCTCAGAGGCTGACTCAGCAGATCTAATAGTCTCATGTCCCCTTCTTCCTGCCATTAGAGTGTCATAGTCCTAGAACAGGGGTGGAAGCACTCTATCCACAAGCCCTTCCCCACAAATTACTTACCACTTAAGGTTTACAGACATGCGAGTAGAGCCATCCCAAAGGTTAGAGATCTTTCTTTAGATATGTCTGAAATATCAGGAAATGGAAATCCAGAAACCTTATATGACATATCCAAGCGTGTTATAGGACTCTAACTGAACACAGGTCTGTGGGGTCTAAGCCTCTTGTATTTTCCACTGTACCACTGCTTCATGATGGCCTCCAAGTACATGTAAGGTTGGTTGGTTGTTTTTTTTTTCTTAACATGAGTTCTGGTCCTGTGTTTGATTTTTTTTTTTTCCTGCTTAATACTAAAATATTTCTAGCAGGCAAAGTGGTGGGATTATGGTTTGGTTTGGTTTGGTTTTGAGAGAGAGTCTTGCTCTGTTGCCCAGGCTGGAGTACAGGGGCGCCATCTCTGCTCACTGCAACCTCTGCCTCCAGGGTACAAGTGATTCCCCTGCCACGGCCTCCTGAGTAGCTGGGATTATAGGCACCCACCACCACACCTGGCTAATAATTGTATATTTAGTAGAGATGGGGTTTCACCATGTTGGCCAGGCTGGTCTCAAACTCTTGACCTCAGTAATCCATCCCCTCAGCCTCCCAAAGTGCTGGGCTTACCGATGTGAGCCACAGTGCCTGGCCAACGGGCTTATGTTAATGTCCAACTATAGTATTTGTTCTACCAGTTATTGGTGAATTTTGCTTATTAAAAACAGCATTGCAAGGGCAACTTTTCTATCATAATATTAGTCTTACTTCAAATCACCAATAATAATCTAATACAACAGCAGCTAGTTATTGGACCTTATTAAGGGCTATGTTAAGCCCTTTATACATATCAAGTGATTTAATTCTCACAGCAACTCTGTAAGGTTATTATATTTATGGTCTCCACCTACATCAAGGCCACATAACTAAAAAGTGGAGCCATGACTTCCAGCAACAGCACAGATACAGAATATACAGTTTCAGGTGATAAGTTTTAAATGATGCTTTTAATGGAAGTTTGGTGACATCCATACAAGTTCTCGTCTTCCTCATCTTTTTGCCTTTTCTTTTTCCATGGGATTTTGAGTGAGGATTTTCATCTGCAAAGATGTTAGAGACAGAATATTCAAACACTTTAAAAATTTAACATTAATTTAAATTTATAAGAAACCTAAAATAGCTATTTCCTCAAGTTGTTATTTCCAACTCTCCAGGTGGACTCCAAATCACTATGTAATCATTGAGAAAAGACTTTTATTAGTTATGTTCCTGCTGGGTTTAGAAAATCCTGTCTTCTGTTGATATAGCAAGGTCAGCAGGAACCTTTAATATTTACAAAATGAAGGGAGAAAAAGTTCGTTGCAAAAAACTTCCTAGTGATTCCAATCCCCTAACCCTAATCTCAAGGGAAAGACAGCACAACTGTGTTATCTGCTATGAACTTCACAGCTACCTGCCATACCTAGACGCCAATCTAGGGCTGCACAGCCCCTCACAGGATGATGTGCTTGTTGATGCTAAACTTTGAAGATGGCCTCTCCAGACTCTTTGTTCTTTTATGTTTCCTAATCTGATTACTTCCACCTTGCAAACAGAGCTTCCTACCCCCGCCACCTCAGATGGTGGTGAGTAAAGATGCTCTGCATCTTGCTAAATCATCACTTAGGACATTAGCTTTCAAACTGCCTCTTATAGTGATCTAACGTTGGGCACGTTACTTGCCCTTCATGTTTCCTCATTTGTAAAATGTGAATTACTGTACTGCTGCCCCCAATGAGTTTTTATAAAGATTAAATGAAATAACAGTTAGAAAACACTTATACCTCCTGGCATATAGTAAGCCCTATAAAACATTTGTTGAAATAAGATAACCAAGTGATTTGAGACACTAACACCTTGCAGCTTCCCCATAAGTGTCTTTGTAAGGGGCATGATGTGTTTGGCAAAAAGCCATCACGGAGTACTTTGCTAGTCAAAGTTCTTTCAGGAAAAGGAAAACACACTTGGAATTTCAAAGGGAATTGGTTACAGAGTGTGGGGAGGCTGGAAGACTGAAGAGGGAAGTGGCAGAAACCCAGGTAAATAACTGCAGGAGGCAGCTCCCACCATCAGCTCTGCCATGTTACTAGAGCATAGATGTGCTGCCACCTTGGAGAACGAACAGTAGTGAAGGATGCTACCTGAAGAGCTGGGATAGTGCAGGAACATAGCCACCTGCCCCAAAATGGAAGAAAGAGAAATGACAGAAGAAAGCCAATGGCTTCTGTCCTCTTGCCACTTCATCCAACTCCTGCAGTGCCTTGACTGACAGGACCTGGTCAAGGGGCCTGTGGGATACAGTTTGCCAACTCTGGGCCCCAGCATGGCAAAGTAGAGCTGAGACAGGATAAAAACAACCACAACACATGGAGTAAAAGCTGGACAGACATAGGATCTTTTTTAGAAAAGAGAGAGAGGAAAAGGTCAAAGCTTTACAAAGTTAGAGTGTAAGTACAAGAACAGGAATCAGTTTAGACTTTTATAGAAGTAATCACGGAACCAATTTAGTATCATTTATTATAAATTTTTTAGTGATCTGTGCAATTAGAGACTCCAGTATTTACCAAGTCTGTCTGACAATCAGTAACACGTTCCGTGGTACTGTGCTGGTTGTAAATACTCATAGAAATGTCTTAGCTAATTCCAGACACATGGGATAAATTAAAGGGTTCGGCATCACTGAGTCTTGGCCAATCAAATGTAGCCAACTATTCAAACCATGTTCAAATAAGGCAAACACTGAGCTCTGACCAAGCCAGTTGTTTCTGCGCCTCACATCGATTTTCTATACACCACTTTCCTTTTGCCGTCCATAAATCTTTTTCCACCATGTGTCTGGCCAAGACTCAGCATGCCAAAAACATCATACCCCTTACAGTGAATTACAGAGAATTCCTCAAAGATGCTTGTAAGCTGAGGAACCCAGGTGAGAGAGACCCCTCTGATAAGGCAGCTGACACAGTTTGGGAGCAGATAGCCATCACCCATGCCCTTATATAACACTTCTACTCTGTTACCAATAACATAATTTGTGAACCCACTGCCCCACCCCATCTTATCATCTGAATCTTACTTAGTCTGGAGCAAACACACAGAACCAGGGAAAATATGGTCACATTAATTTATTATTAGTAAAGAGAAGGATTTAGTCACCCTTTCCCGAGTGTCAAGAAATGAAGTCATCAAGCAAATGATACCACATGTTTAGAGAAGAAGCAAAAACCTTCCTTATTCTTCAGTCTCTCAAAAGAAGAATATTCCATTTTAAAAATTAGAACCATTGTAGGCATGCTGAATTTACCAGTGAACCTGAGTGATGTCACATCTCTCTCTAGTTGTAGCTGAGTCACATGCTGAAAAAATTGGAACTTGGCTGGGAGTGATGGCTCCTGCCTCTAATCCCAGCACTTTGGGAGCCAAGGCAGGAAGACCACTTGAGCCCTGGAGTTCGAGACTAACCTAGACAGCTTAACAAGACCTCATTTGTCTATTTAAAAAAAAAAAAAAAAACGGCTGGGCATGGTGGTACGTGCCTGTAGTCCCAGCTACTTGGGAGGCTAAAATGGGGGGATTGCTTGAGTCCAGGAGTTCCAGGCTGCAGTGAGCTATGATCAAGCCACTGCACTCCAGCCTGGGTAACACAGTGAGACTCTGCCCCAAAAGGAAAAAAAAAAGGAATCTGTAGAAGCTTTATAATATGCCTGTTAGTTTAGTTTTTCCTCCCCACCCTAGAAAAAAAAAAAAAGTAGAAGAAAAAAACATGGATTTACGTTGCATTAGTCTGCACCTGGATTTTACCAGATGTCTGTTTCCTTTTTGACAAATTATAGAATTACTTCTGAAGTGATTAGCTTTTCAAATGATCCTTCATATATTTCTGCCAGGGCAGGAAATTGAAGTGAATTTTTTAGAGATCTAACATTATATGAAGAATAATTTAGGATTCAGCATTCATTCAAAGAACATTCACATTTTTTGAGGAATTCGTGTGTGATAATATTTATAGGTGCTTTTTGTGTGTGACTAAGATTTTTTAATAGATCCAATTTATGGATAAATCATATTGCCAAAAAAAGTGGGAAAACTGTTGGCCAATGTTTGAATATTTTAACTGACAAAAAAGATGACTTATTTATCCATTCTCTGCCTCTTAATTCTGGGACTAAAACATCACATCTTTATTTTCCTTGACTTAAAACACTAGTGCTATGTCTCTGGAAGAATGGTTTGCTGATAATGAATGTACCTCTGTAGACACTCTTCAATTCTCAGCCCACCTTCATTGAGGCTCAGGAGAAATGCTTCTCAGTGTGATTGGCTCCTATATCAGGTTACCTACATCTGGAAATGGGGCCCAGAAATCTGCATTTTGGCAAGCTCCTTAAGAAATTCTTACCCACACTAAGATATAAAAAAAAAGTTCTTTGGAAATAAACTCTTCTCCCTCTCTATTCTTTCTGAGTAGTGAAA